GGTATCATGATTTTTTAATTTGCTAGTGCGGGTATAATCCTCTTTTTTGCCTCGAATTGCCTCGAATTGGATTCCATCTATATTATTATTATTAATATANATACATTAAAGTCTCCTCTTTTTTGGTAAAANAAAAATGTATATTGTTACAGTTTACAAATATGATTGGGAAATTATCCAAAAATATCAGAATTCCTACAATTTTTTTCCACCAATACCATATTTTACTAGAGTTTAATCCACGCCAAATGTGGGATATATTTTCTAATCGATTTTAATATTTAGACGTAGATTCTAATATTTATAAACGTACAAAAATGATATTATTATACATAAATGTGATAAAATTTAATTTTGATCAAGCATATTTTGATCCCGCGTTTGATTCGGATAAAAAAATCTAGTAGTTATTGAAAAAAATAAATAAGATACCCTCAAATATTTTCTATATTCTTTAACTAATATCATTCATATTAATTACTACATATCCATTGTTTTCATATATTCATCATTAAAAAATTTAATAGTTTTTATTAAGAGTTTCCCTGAAATCATCTTTAGATGACACCTAAAATTTTCATTTAGAGCATATTTATTGGTGAACTTTTATGGGGTTCTTTAAATATAAAATTATTAAAAACACACTTTCTCTTCATTTTACTCAACTTTATACCTTCTCTTTCATCCTTTTACTTAACTTTTATTAATTTTATATTTAAACATATGCTCTTAGTGTCTCTTCTATTAATATATAGAGGATAGAGGTGACGTTCATATATTTCGGATTTTCGTGTTTAGGGATCTATGATACATTCATATATCAAAAAATTTGCTCGAACTAGATTCCCTCTATATTATTATTATAGCTAAATTTTTATCTCCCGTCAAACGCATAATTATAATATTTGAAAATAAAAAATATAATTTTTAATAATATACGAGAGAAATTAAAAACAAAACAAAAAATCAAATGATATATCTCCCATATAGATAAATATAATTTATCTTATAAATTTTAATCTATATGACTTTAAGGTTGAATGTAAGTGTTTTTAATGTAAAACGAATACGTTTGAGATTATATGTTATCTCAAACTTATTTGAGTTCACCAAATCCAAAGTATCGCGTTAGTATATAAATTTTTTTATAAAAAGAAAAAAAAAATCAAAGAAATCGTTTATAGTGAAAATGACCACTTCTGATCAAAATTTGCAAGAGAAGAGAAGCTTTCCGTATTATATTACAGAGATAATAAACTTCTGATCAAAATTTATCATCTCTCAATCATCTGCTTCTAACCGGTGTTTTGGAGTTTACATGGCGGGTCGTGGACGATCTTCTACTGCAAATTTAAAGCAACAATGTGATGATTTCAACAACAACACATAATACATAATCAAGTAAGGGAACTGATCAAATGTCAATGAAGAATCTTGGATCCTGGAAGATCTTCAAGACAGCGAAAAAATCTTCGATGTTAGTTCTTCTGCAACTGTTTGAAGAAAACTTGTGTCTTTAATGTGCAAACGTATGGATAAAGAAAACTTATAAGTAATTATTGTTGAGTTTTAGTGTATTACAACTCATGAAAACTCAAAGTAAATCAGAAAAAAAATCAAAATTAGTAAATAGTTTTCTTGAATGCGTATATAGAAATAATTTGAATATAAGTAAACTGGATTTTGAAGAACATAAATAAGATTTTCTTTCTAAACTGAAGTTGCAATGGTTAGTTGAATATGAGTATAAGTAAATTTGATTTTGAAGAAAATAAATTAATCTTGAGGATGTAATGTTCTTGGCTTAAAACGCTTCGTGTTGTAGATACCTTGTGACGATAACATTGTTATCATAACAAACAAACAGCTAAACAACACTGTTGGAGATCAGGAAACACAATTTTGTTGCAACTTGTAACTTGTTTTGCCACAAAAAATTTGTTGTGTCGCAAACGCCAACGCTTTTCTCGAACCACACACTTTTGTAGCAAACGTTTTATTTGTTGTTTTCTTTCTTGCATTAACATACCCAACATTACATGCAACAAATAAGTCTCAAATTTAAAAGACATTAAACGCAACATTTGTTTTGTTTATACTAATGTTGCACCAGTTTAGCCAAAGAGTACGCAACGGCTGAGGCTATCGCTCCTATAAAAGCGGTTTCAAACGCACTTTTAACCGGTTTGCTATCTGTGAAACGCCCTTTTCCATAACCGAATACAAAAAGAGCGATCAGAGTGATAACCACGGATGCCACTACCGCGTCCATGGCCTGCGGTATAAACATGTAAGGGAGTAGCGGTACTAAACCACCAAGAACGTAAGCGATTGCGATTGTGAACGCGCTTTGGAACGCTCTTTTTGGCTCAGGCTTCTCTAGTCCCAGCTCGAACCTGTGCAAAACAAAGTTAGACAAATATTAGAGTGTCACATACATATATGCTTTTAATGAATACGAACAAATTGAAAAAGCGGATGAACAAATTATGTAATTTGATAATCTCATTTGATAAATTATTAACAAACAAAGCTTTTTTCTTTTATTAAAAACCAAATCCAAAACCCGAATATTATCATGATAGCAGATAATGTTGGTCCCGTTTCACTTTAATATGCAGTTGATGACTAAAATTTGGGTCACAATTTGCAAAAAAAATGACTATGCCTTCACATTTTATTTTTTTTCATTTTTCAAACCAAATTTTCCCTAAAGCTTTTTTTCTGTTCAAGTATTTTTTTTTGAACAAACCGAGTAGTATTATCATCTTATTCTCCAAAAAGGAGAAATGGTTCAAGATACAATACCAAATTTGGCTAACGCGTCGGCTAAAACATTTTCCAAGCGGGGAATAAAAGTAAACGAGATAGAAATAAAATCTTTCCTAAGACAAGAAATGTCATGTAAGAGAGACTTCAACTCATTGGTTACACTATTAGTGTTTATCAAGGTAACCAAAGAGAGGGAATCCGAAAAGCAATTAAGCATTTGGAAACCCGCTGATCTAGCCGAAATTAAGGCGGCTTTCATAGCGATTGCCTCCGAGACCAAAACCGAGGCAACATTTTCTTTTGTCGTGGATGATTGACTTATGACTTTTAAACTTTTATCTTTAAAGCACCAACCTGCACCACACGTTCTAGTGGTAGAAGACCATGCCGCATCACTAAAACAGAGTACGGCTTGCGGAGAGAGTAACTTAGCTTGCTTGACCGGCCGGTGAATCTTCTTCTTATCCTCCGCAAGTTGAGCTTCTTGCCATCCTCGAGCATCCTTAATTGACCTTGACACCACCACTTCCGCCGGGGTTTTGTGGTCTTCAAAAACGAAGTGATTCCTTGCCTTCCACAAGTTCCACATCACCCAAGGATACAAGGGGAAATCGGTGATACCCGAAGAAGGTAGATTTGTATGCTTCCTAGCTGATTGAAGGAGTTGATTCATAGTATTAATAGTCTCACTATCGGGTATGGGCATGATCGGGACCTGCTCCCATACCGAGACTGCAAAAGGGCAAACCAAAGTGATGTGAAGTTCGTCTTCGGGTGCTTCGCAATACTTACAGTTGCTTACATTCAAGATTCCTCGAATCGAGAGATTGTTGCCAACTGCTACTGCTCTATTCTTTAATTTCCACAAGAATGTTTTAATCTTCGGAGAAGTTTTAACGTTCCATATACATCCTTTCCAATCGAAACCTTCGTTTGAAACCGCCGCTTTCTGGATTTTGTTGATAGCATATCCCGATTTAGTTGTATAAATTCCCGAGTTTACGGGTAACCAAGACATCGAGTCCTCCATATTGAAGGAGCTAAGCTCGATTCTTGTGATAATGTCCTCATATTGAGGTAAGTGATCTCTAATGGCCTCTATCTTCCATGTATTGGTTGTAGTGTTGATCAAATCTGAGACTTTTAGGTACTTTGAAGCTAGAGGAGGAGGACCGATGGGTCTTAAGGGGGCCGATGTAGAGAGCCAAGCATCCTCCCACACATTGATCTCGGTCCCTTTACCCACAATCCATCCCAAGCCTTGTTTTATCACCTCTCGGCCCGCCATT